TTCTTAAAGTCGGCAGTCGTAGAGCATCCAGCCCAAAGGTCTGTTCCTTAAACGGTACACCGTTGCAGCAAGTTGAGAGTCAGAAGGATTTGGGTGTGCGGATTACTTTTTCACTAAAACCAACGCTGAACTGTACGAAAGTGGCGAATTCGGCCAGATCTATATTACAGCTGATTAGACGAGCCTTTATGGGGTTTGAAATTCGAAGCTTCGTTCGGCCGCACCTGGAATTCGTTATACAGGCATGGAGACCTTGGACTGTCAAAGACTGTACCGTCTTAGAGAAGGTCCAGAGGCAAGTGACAAAAATGGTCAAAGGTCTGGGAACACTGCCCTATGAAAGCAGACTGTTAACCTTCGATCTATTTCCCCTTTCCTACAAGCAACTTCGAGGGGACCTCATCCTTACCTACGGTATTATGAATAACCTGGATCGTTGCTTCGTCCCGGACGATTTGTTTACCCAGGCTAATACGCCAACTTTGCGCGGGCATCCCCTTAAACTACGCTCCGGCAAAGTAAAGATCGACGGACGAAAGTTCTTCAGCAGCAGAGTAGTCGCAGCGTGGAACGCCCTATCCGAAGAGGTTGACCTCTCGACCTGTGCTAATTCATTCATGAGCAGACTGGATATGCATCAGATCCCATCCAGACACACTGCAGTGTAAAAACAACATTGCATTACATTATAGTACTGGTGATTAACAAGTAGTTGTGTGTTTATTACTATTTGGACTACCTGACAAATGTCTTTCCCCAGAACATATGATTGACGTACTTTAAAAAAATGTTGTATCCATAAATTTCCTATCATCTTGTTACGAATAGGGAAATCAAAGGCGTTCGCCTATCTGTCGTTCAATAAACTGATACTGATACTCCCGGTAAGTTGGATACTGTTTCATTGAATTTGCCTGATAATCACCTACATTATTGTATTCGATTTATGATGTCTTATGTACTAGTGCTACTATGTATGATCACTGGTATTAGCACGACTAGTATTGGAGTATTATTGATATCAAAAGTAACACAGTCTTAGCGCTTTAGAAATATCAGCCTTGTTAGTGGTTACTTGCTGTTATCTGTAGTACTATTAATCTCATGAGCTTTAGTATTACTAGTACTGCTAGCCACAATCATAATTGAAAAAATCTCATTTTCAGCATAACTTTTTGGCATCAACCCAAGCTCCCCCACCGAAAGCTTTAGCTCTCCCAAGAGAACCTCCATTGAAAGGTAAGCTATGTTCTCGGTTTCTCTTTCTCTTTCTCTTCTTCTTCTTCTTCTTTTGCACAACCTGTTTTACACCGCTCACCTCCAGCTTCTTACCTTTTTATCACTGTTAACTGACGTATTTACCGGACAAACAACCAGCCTAGCGTGTGCTGTGTATGCATTGGCTGATGAGTGGAGTGGGAGCCAGAAGGCACCGGCACCTTTTAACCCCCTGGTTACGTAAATCTTGGTGTGGGTCAAGAGGCCAGGTCGTACTGTGGCGCGCGCAAACGGGTTTTCCGGCCCTGGCAGCCACCGCGCCTATCCCATATCAGACGACCGATCAGCTAGGCGGTGGCTTGATGCTGGTGGTAGGGGTGAGATTGAGGTCTACCCTCAGCGCAGTTCTTTCCTCACTATAAAAAATCAGACGCGCTTGAAGCTATCACGGTGCGCTAAAAGCAGCGGTTTGGAGGGTTTCCAACTGACGGAATAACTCGGACCATGCAGTCAGTCCAGTGTGTGTCTTGTTTTGTGCAGTGGCTGATTGGCGGACTGTGAGTCAGGCTGAAATGGCCCCTTCTTAATGTGGCCTTTATGGCACTCCCACGTAAGCGTAAGTCCTGGAAAGGTGTGTTGTTGTGGTGTGCATTGGAGTGGCGGCCGCACCAGCCACCTGCGTCCACTTCAGGTCTTTTTGACTTTGTCTTGACACCAGGTAAATATGCGGGAGTGGGGAGAGCGTTTTTTAGTTTCTGCACGAGTTAACTTTAACTATAATCCAGTACCAGCAACCGTGTTTGCCTTCAGCTTGCTGAAGCTCGTGGTGGACACCATCGAAAACGACGGTCGACCTGTCGTTACCAGGTTTTCGCAAAGCGGCCACCGAGGTCAAGTAACGCACAGTGAAACAGACTCTATTTATACACTACGCTAGCACCGTTTCGACGGTAGTAAAATCTGCGTATATTTTGCGACTCATTCACTGGCGATTTTCAGGATGTCAATCGTTGCAGTTTTCGACTATTATTTATCGTTTGCGATCTTGATGCTTTATCCCTTTTTCGTAGTAATTTTTATCCCCGATGAATGGAGGGCTTTTTTCCTAAAATTTTTGGAATGATACCTTCAAAATGAAACACATGTCCCCCCCTTTGACGCCTAAAATTTCGGTCAGGTAAAATCCAACTGGTAGCAGTGTGTTTGCCGCGGCGAAGATGGATGATATATAACATACGTTTCCATCGAATCGCGTCCCTTAGAACAACAGAATACTGATGCCCCCAGTAGAGTGGAATTCACATAATTATTGACCACACTGACTGCACAAGTACTAGCTAAATTCCCGGACAATGGTGTTTCGCCGATCTTGTGCCGTTGACTGACGCAACTGCGTTGGGTCGGCCAGTTGATGAGTCTTCCAGCGTTCACGTGTATTTTCTGAGATATGAACTACAGTTTTAGCCTCTGCCATTTAATTCCTGAGGAAATTAACGCACGAACTTGAAATGTATTTTTTCGAAACAAACTATTGACAAGTTTTGGACCGAGCCTGGAACAATTTATTCCGAGGGATAGGATAAAAATGGTGAAATAAATGGATCATTTAAATCTTCCAAGTCCCTCCTAAAAATAAATTGTGCCCTGTAGTCATCTGGTGGATTCTTGACCGATTGTTTAGGAAATCCTGCTTGGACAGTTAGCATACTGTATCAGAATTTGTGGATTCCCTACGTTTCATTAGACTGACGGTTGTAATTAAACTCATGGCTTCTGGTGGAGCCTCGATACCTCAGTTAGCTAGAGCGTTGGCTGTAATCAAGTCTTCTCTTGCTGGTGTGGATTCGAATCCCACCGAGGCCTCCGAGTTTTTCACAATCGAGTCAATTGAATTTGTGCATTGATTCTCAGTGTAGGCGGTCAGATATACAGCAGACTTTGTAAATTGTGTTATTTATAGCAAACAGAACGTTTACACACGTGAAATTTGATCCTACTTACAGGGATACTATGCCCCACTGTATGGCGTTACTGTGCAATTGCATGAATAATAGTCCAATTTCTCGGGTATGACATTGGCGAGAACCTTCATAAGGCCACACTGGGAGGAAGCCACTACAACCTCTTCATCAGTATTTGTTTAAGTTGATGTTTATGAATATTTACGCGGGTCACGTCGAAATCCAGTGTGATTTTCGGTTTTATTAACTGACTTTTAACCCTTTGTCTCTGTTATCATGGGGCGCTGTCGAAAGGTTTATCCCTTCTGGCGTGTTAGTGTCGTTTGGCTCTTATCGACTTGCCACGAGTGTGTGATCGGAATATCGAAAGTCATGACTCGCGAAAGGTTTGCGCGATAAAATTGCTCGTGTAAACTTCTTAGCAGACAAGACAAATTTGTTGTGGGAGCTGATTATGATATCGCCAGCCAGCATATGACAAAACCCCTAGCGGCTGAATCTGTCATCTGTTCGAGTGATATCATTGCTGAAACGCGAAATGGGCAACACTGATGAGTTTGCTCCGTTAGTTTTTTGAAAACCGTTAAAGTTCTTCTATCATTCTGGTCAACACTGTGTCAGTTTTGCAAAAACATGGTTTACATCAAACAAACATATTTCTCCAAAAGACAGGCAAACACGACCGCACACACCGCTACCTTAATTCAGCTGGGGAAGAGTGGACGATATTCCACATGTTTTCAGTTGAAAGTTTGCTCCAGTCGCCCTGTGCTATTTTACTTCTGGTTCCCCACCATCCTATGAAGTATAGGATCGATACTGGTTCAGCTGCTACTCTCTTCAACGAGACTTCAGTTCTCATGTGTGCTAGTCTCCATCCCACTCGCTAAACGTTCCTTAGTTACACCAGACAGGACGGGATACCTTACGGTCGAAGTCGAACAGGATGAAAACCTCCCTTACCTACCAGTTCATGTTGTCAGAGAAGATTAACAACCAGATTTTATCGGGCAGAACTGAATCAAATGCGTGTCTTCTGTCCTATCCTATGCAAATTTGACTTATTCTAAACAAGCTCCAAATTCTCTATTGGTAACTTAAAATACAAATAACTGTTTCGTGACAAGTGTATTATACATAACCGCCTGCGAACTTTCGAGCTAACTCGGGCACACCCAATGTCAAAGAAAAACTGGGTCATCTTGAGAGATTATATATTATCGGGTCCATGGAACATGCAGTATGGACAGCCATTGAAGTCACTTTAGTGAGGGAAGAAGGCTTTTGCCCTTGAGCCTCCAATTCATATCCCAAAATCGCAAAACGCCTAATTTTAACAACTGTACATGTAAAACAATTGGAGTTAACATCAACTATATGTGTGAGTCAGTCGCAAACTGCCGCTAATGACACCGCGTTCATTATCTGTACAATAACTTCTCGGAAAATAAGAATTTAGTTTGCATTTGAATGCCGCAACAGTTTCTGAGAGGACCACCTCGTCAGGGAGTCCGTCCCACGCTCCACAAACCCTTTGCGAGAAGGCATTTCGTCGAACGTCCATATGTGCAAGCTTCCGTGGTAGTTTAAAGGGATGACCCCGCAGATGGTCCGTCCGAGCCAATTCGAAGAACGCAAAAAATTCTAGTCTCACTCAGCCTTCTGACGGTCCGGTAGGTTTGCATGAGGTCGCCACGTAGTTGCCCGTAATTGAGAGGACAAATCTAATTCAGCCAATCTGTCTTCGTAGGACAGGTGACCAGTATTCTTTACCATCTTTTTAGCCCTCGCCTGTATTTGTTCCAGCTGCAGATAATCCCTTTTAAACCACGGGCGCCAGCTCTGGACGGCATGCTCCAAGTGGGACCGAACAAATTCTCCGTAATTTATTCTGAAGAGTTCCTTGTCGATAGGAAGTAATCCCTGTCTTAGTGCAAATGGCACCTGTGTCGCGCAAGATACGGATGAAATATATTAACAACCAGCATACGCGCCTGGAAATATATCTGCAATGTTGATTTCCTCCATGATTTGCCGAAAGGAAAGTGAAAAGACTCAATACTTCCGAATACAGGTGATGAGGTAAGACCATCTCTCGTTTAAACGTGTAAGCATAGCTGCCTAAAACATACGGAAGGCATTGAATCAAACCGGAGTCCGGTCACATCTACGTTATAATCAAACATCAAGATCTCTGAAAAAACAAAACATTATCTCGTAGGATGAGAATATGCAAGCAGTTCGTAAATAATTTTAACCAGCAGGCAATAGACAAGAAAACTATCAACACGTATCTTACAAGTTTCATCGGATATATGGGATTCACATGTAAGTAAACGAAGGGGGTGGCTTCGGCTTTTGAAATTACAGGTATGTGGGGTTGCATTCCATACTGTTTCTTCTCATGAACAAAATAGAGAAGAGGTGACTCTTGTAGTGACTAACTAAGTTTGTGCCTTAAAACGTATAAAACGTGTTAGAACACATGAAACGCAAAATTCCAGACGTAAGTAGCTAGTAGTAACTAAACTACTATAAGCTATGACGATAGGAAAACGGGTAAAATGGAGAAACAATGATATAAAAGGTAACAATACGACTCACTGAATCCGACTGCTGTTCTTCAGCAGTAGCCAGAAACTTGACTTGCAATGAAGAAGAATTGACCAGAGGTACTGACCAAGTTCAGCCATCCGGTCCAGCGAAGGTTCTCACCAAAATGGATAATGCGCTTAAAGGGGGTCTCTTTTTAGGACCTTTTCTTCAAGCACACAGTTTAGATTGGTTAGCAATCATGCCAAAGGGAGAAGTCGCTCAGCCACAATTATTCAAGACGCGATCCAAATTGCAAAATTGGTCTGTACTCAACCAAGAAATGTGTACAAAAATAGTGCATATAAGCAAATGCGTGTTCACACCTAAAAAGGAAAGGTTCAAGCACCTACACTCTTCCAACAAATATAAAGACTAATTCTAGACACATACGGTCGCAGATGTCATGTAGATTTTGACCACAGAGCATTCCATCTGCACATTTACGATGGTATAGCCCTAATTTTAAGGGATAAGTCAAATATGGGAAGAAGCCCGTTCTACTGAATAGGTACTGCACTGCCTAAACTCTCTTATATGCAAGCACGAGATTACCGGCAATGCAAGCTGATGTACTGACAAGAAAAGTAAATTTTAACCATCTTCAAAGAAAATCATCTCCGCGATTAATTTTTTTGACCAAATGCTTCAGAAATTGAAGTATTTGTAGGGGGGTGCTAGGTTATTCTCAGCTTGTTTCGCTTTTTCATTAAATGTAAGAGTAAATCGCTAAAATATTCTTTAAACTACACTTTTCTGCACAAAGAAACCTAGTTAGTGTAGAGACGTATCAATCCGCATAAAGAAATATATCAAATGGGCAATTTTTAGCTTCCGCTCGCTCCACTACCTAGAAAACTTCGTCTTCTTTGATTAACCTCAGTTGCCGTGACTATTCAAAACGCGGGTGTTTCAACATGTCGAGGAGTCCGCGATATTCACCTCCAAAGGCCTACGCGAAATTTAAGAAAATGAACGCAGACGAAATCAATAATTTCATTGACAACTGGCCTGCCCATGCGCTAGGAAGAACCTTTGCGTCATCGCAGATTGCAGTTGCTGATGGACGTTTACGTGTTTTAACTGAGGCCGAAACTAGTAAGATTTTACGAGGGAAATACTGTTAGAACTACCTAATCTTATACCAAAGCCTCGCTTTCTCGAAAAACTGGAAGAAAAAGTTAAAAGAAGGCTCGAAAGCCAGGGATTAGCAAAAAAAGAACCATGTATGGAGCGGCTTCATGTATTATTTTCAAATTCATGATCCGACCGCCACAATTAGATTTACCGAGAAGCATTTGATTTCATAATTAATTCGTTCAAATCCTACGCCCCTCTTCTTTCATCTATCAAGCATGAATATGACGAAGTTCTCAAATATTACAAACTCCTTTCAAGAGAGCTCCAGCCAGCGAAGGTTTATTTCAATACATGAATATTGTTTCCTAGGAATTAGTTTGGACAGTTTCTCAAGACTGTGATGCTAAAATCCACGAAATTCAACGCTCCCAACTTAACGGTTTGTTGACATGCTATCTTATTTTTAAAATACAGAATTAAATGTACTAAGGCAGCAAGTCAAGGGTCTTGAAACCAAACTTTCTGTTATGAAAGAGGAAAAAACAGAACTGAAGTTTCTGGTAAGAACTAAACTTATGTTGTACACACTTTTATTTGTCTAAATTTGTTTTGTCTAAAGCAATAAGGCAACAGTATATATTTGATGAAGTTAGAACACTTAACTGTCCTACCGCCCGTTCTTCTTTTAGTAACATATGGTGTACAATTAATGAACATATAACATCAGAGTGTTTAGCATGTTATGGCATGAAGTGATAATCTCTGACGAGGTTAACTTAGAAGACAATGGTCTTTCCCGACAGCAAGTGCGAAACATCGTAAGGATTGGGTATCGGTTAACACCGGGACGGTGGCTCTGTACAGAGGGCGGTAGTTCACGTGCAGGGGAGAGGCTCTTGGACTAGAAAAAGGTCGTATTATCCCCAACTTTGGTATGTGCTAAAATTCGTTCTTCGCAATCCGGAGATTCTCAGGGCGAAGTCGGCGCGGGTGAGCATGGACGGGTCGTCCAGTTCTGACAATATGATGCCTGACTGCACGCTGAACCTGTTCAGTGAACTGACACGGTTTAGCGAGGGATGGAAAGTCCTTCAAGATGTCAGAAAATGGTGAGCTTGGGACAGTCAAGTGTATGCCAGCTAGAAATTCGAATGAGGCAATAATGACCATGAACAGGTTTGTAGTTAAATCGACCACCTTGCGGTGTGTTAGCTTGATAGCAAGGCAAAAGTGCGACAAGACGTCAGCTCCAATGATAGGCGACTGGACGTCAGCCTGGATAAAGACGCACTGGAAATAACGGCAAAGGATGAGATTTAAAGTGAGGAATCGTTGACCTTACGTGTTGATGGTGGTGAATTTGTTGGCCTGCAGTAAAAAATGTGAAGGCTGGAGGCGGGAGGCCGCTAACCTCGCCATCAGTATCAATCAGAAAAAGGAATTCTATTGACCTGCCGATGAGATAAAACAGACGATGTGGTCGCGACTGGCCAGTGGCAGCCGTCGGCATTACTAGATGTCGTAGTCTTTTTTCGAATGTTACGGTTTGTCTAAGTTGCAAGGCTGAATGCATTTACGTGCCTCCGGGCCATACATACGGGGATACCAATCCAGTGGCTGGGACGACCGCACTATTGACTGGGAGCGGCAACGGCTTGTTTGCTCACATCCCGGCTGAAAACGATAAATAACGTCTCTCGTAGTGCTAACTTGCGAAAACAACAAACGAACAGTCCCATTAAGCTCCTATAGGTCGTTGTTATGTGCATCCGAAAGTCCTCGTGCAAGCGCAGTGGTTTGTGTCGACCGCGATGGTGAACGACAGCGAGCTGTCAATGCCGAATGCAAAATAAGTTGCTCGGGTTTATAGCTGACATCAGACTCAGCAGGTTGCGCGATATCGGGCCTCCTATGAGAGACCGTGGTTTGTTGTATATATGGATATGTGCTACCACTAGGGTAGTATTTCATAATGCGATCTGCATGCTCGGTGAGTTTGTAGGGCGACGTGCTCGCGTCAGTCATCGCCACCACCTGCTGCATCGGGAGTGGAAGCTTATCCATTCAGATTCTGCGAAATATCGCTTCGTCCATAGTGCGACCAGCTAACACGGTGCGCATATGATGCATTCAATTAAATGGTATCTAATAGCCCAGCTCGACTGAAGTGAAGAGCTCACACAGCATACCATCGGTCGATTTGGCCGTACGCTGGATTATCATTTCTTTCAGTACTGCATACGGCTTGTCTTTGGTTAAGAGAGCAAGAAGATCCCGAACTGTGTGTGCTACATCAAATGGTAGCGACTGTACAACGTATGAATACCTCTTACTCTTGCTTGCGATGCGGTGGGTCGAAAACACTGCTTCTATATGAATGAATCAAACGCTCGGGTTACTGGGGTTAAATGACAACGGCACTAATGTCTAAAGAGCCTGTATTAGTGTTCGTATCTTTGACAGTCTCGCCTATAGTGAAAAAGGAAATGCGTACACAAAACGAAAAACTGGGTCACAAAGTTTTATTGGTTAATTACAGTTAATGCTTTAAAAAGAATAAAACGTGGTAAAAGCAATGTAGTGCAAAATCTTAGTGAGTGGCAATTAAAATACTACGAACTATGGCGATATAAAAAATGACTAAAAGTCTGAAAAGAATAATATGGGAAAATGTGATACAGACTCACAAAAATCCCAATATCCTCCTTCTGCAGCAGCCGGGGAACCGACTTGCCTATAATAAGTACCTGGCTAAGTTTACTAGCCAAACTTGCTCACCCAGCAACACGATGATTGAGAAATTGGTGCGTTGAGAGAGTGCTTAAAATGGAAGGTTGCCTTTAGCGCCTGTTAACCTCAAGCGCAATCTCAGAACGGTCAGCAGTCACGCCAAGAAGTCGCTTCACCACGTTAACTTGTTAGCAAAGGTAGCGGAAAAATTTTTTCCCTTAAACGAAAGTGTACATGTATACAAACAAATTCAGGTATAAGTGGTACATACCTAAAATGCAAAAAGTACAAGAACCTACAAGCCTATAATTAAAAGCGGGCTTGGTTGCTGTTGGTGAGTTAAAGATGATGTCCACCAGGTCTAACCATCATAATTACAAATGTGAAGATGAAACGCCATCACATGGAGTGGGAAAATGTCAGTATGAAGTCGAGAAAGAGGCCATTCCATTTCATCGCTATTCACCGATGTATATCGGACTGCAGTCGAGAGTTTTTCTAACTGCATCACGGTGACAAGCAATCTTTTTCTCACTGGCATAGTTAGGACATTTTACCACGTGGTGAGAAGTATGGAATATAAACAATGGACTTTAGCTTATGGTGCGTTTATCTCCCTTCAGTTGTATTTATAGTAAAGCCACTGCCCTGAGGGGGGATGTTGGCGTTAATTAGTAACGATCTGCTGCCTTTAAACGTCAGTTTATAGCTTGTAATACATCCTAATAAGGTGTCCATTTCTACGACACACAAACGACTCATAACTACATTTGATAACTATCGATGCAGTAACAGCAAACATAAAAAAATTTCGCTGACTGAGAAGACCAATTTCGTCACATTTTTATTGTGTGGGAGGTTAGACGCAATATGTTAATAGAAATGCAAGCCATGGCAACAGCAGTTACGTGTAAGTTATTACCGAGTTCGATTACCAAAAATAAAACCAAAACTATCATGAGAGTGGCTTATCGACAAATGACAAGATAAACCGGCTGCATGTTCCTTCTGTTAGTTTCAAAAACAAATGGTAAATCCAGTATTGTGGTGGAGCTGTCCGGCTCTGATTTTTTCACTCGCACGGTTTATAAAATACTTTCTGACCTTGTTCCATTATTCAAGTTATTTTTAGCCTACAACGCTGTTCAGTAGTCGTGGCCAAATCAGACCCAACTTTGATGTAATTTGTATTTTTTACCTTATTTCAGATGGAAAAGCTAAAAAATGAAATGGCTAAACTGGAAGAACTCCGTAGAACGGAGGCGGACGGGAGAAAATTGGGCATAATTTCTCAGAACCAGCTACAAATGCAACTTTCTGATATGCGGCAGTCCTTTAAAGATAGCATGCGCCCTTCCGAGTCTAACGATGACCCCGTGAAACTGAAAATCGCTTTGCAGTACGTTAAGCTGACAACATAAATAATGTGTGAAATTCACTTGTCGAGAGTAATTTTGGATAACAGTATTGTCTTCAGTAGATATTATAAATATACATACAACTGCATGTATGCCGCAGATACTCCGAAAAGCACCATATGAAGCCATTATTGGAAATCTTTATTTAAACCCCACGTGAACTGTCCACTAGTGCCTCCAGTCGCTGTGAGAAGAGAAAGAAATCACTAATTTGAACAATCATTTTTATGATATTTCATGGCTTCGCATAAGTTCACAATTAATTATTATTGCAACTGCTGTTCTCCACTTAGTTTGCATGGAAGTTAGGGCTTTGCGAGTTTTCTTCATTATTTTCCCTTAAACGGCCTAACCTTATAAAAGACAGTTCGTGTTATCATTTACTGGCTTTGTATTTTGATAGCCAATTTCTCTTTACTTTTTATCTGCAAATTATATTTGAAAGGTATATTCTACCGTTTTGCCATATATTACACGTTGCCCAAATCTCACATTGTTGTTAACGTCAGTTGCAATGTAAACAGACCAAATCTACGAATAAATGTCTAGGTCATTCGGGTAACTGGATCACTGAAACAAAGACAAAACCAGCGCCTTATATACGTTAGAAGGAGTACTCACGCTGCATAATTTTTTGCTCCAAATTGAATCTTCAACCGACTTGAGGGAAAAAGAGGGTGCAAGATCGTTTCAAATAGGGTGTCACGCATGCTACCTCACCAACTATTACGACGCACGAATAGTCTTGTTCTGAAGAAGAAGATGATGAAGAAGAAGAAGACGAAGAAGGGATCACTGGAACAAGAGGTTTAATGTCCTGACTTTTCAGATTCCCTCGGGAATCCTTAATCATAGGTAATAGTAGAACAGTCTGA